AGGAGGTAAGTTGGAGAATAATTCCTATCAAAAAAGAAAAAGGGAAAAAAAAGAAGAAAGACACGTCACAAAAAGCAATGAAGTAAGTTGGAGACTAGTCTCTTCGCACGTGCTTTTGGGCCTGCAAGACGTTTAAAAAAAAAAAAAGATTTTAGAATTAAAAAAGATACTGAGTAGTTGTGTTCTATAAAAATAGGATTCATTATTTGATTTTTCTTTTAATTTTAATTTTTTTAATATGAAAAAGTGTGAATTTACTATATTATCATCATTTAATTAATAATTTTAATTCTTAATATTTGCATTAACCAAGGGTATTTTATAGTATTTTGAATGTTTTACCATTCTCTGTCTTTTGCTTTATATATATATATGTACCAGCCATGTATAACTCTAAGAAATTTTTGTATGTTCCGGGTACACCATAAAATACACATATATATATAATATAGATTGATCCGAAATCTTATTCATATCCAATATAGCACCTATGGGTACATAAGAAATGTATTGAATCGGTTCTTTTTAATGAATAGATCCGATCGCAACTTCGAATATGGAATTCAAAGGGATCAAATAGGAAATGATACTTTCTTTCTTTTTTGGTCGAAAAGATCTTATATTCAAAGCACAAGAACCCCTAAACAAGAGTCTCACGCCCATACAAAGGAAAGACAAGTCTGTCCATGCAAGGAAACAGACAAAGCATAGAGAGTCCAGAAACCAACCAATACATTTAGACTGATCAAGAAGAAAAGTGCTAGAAAGACAATCCAACCATAAGGATGTCAAAACGATTCAAGACCAGTCAACAGCCAAATTAGGAAATGATACTCTGAATCATAGAACTATAATAAAATATACTATCAACCAACATTTGTCAAATTTGAAAAAGAGTCATGAGAAATGATTCAATCCTCTTATTTTTATTTCTTGAACTGAGAGATCCGTGAAGAAAGTAAAAGAATCTCAAGTCCTCTTAAATTAAAAATAAACTTGGGTATTGGCCCTACCAAATTGTTGAAAGACAAATCAAGGGCGCCTAATCGGTAAGAAGAGACATTAGAAAATTCATAGAACTGATTAGAGAACTTATTGTTGGAAAGGGCAACTAATTCCAGCAATGGAAGGGGAAAACATGGACAATGGAATGCCTCCATCGAATAGATTGTAACTGAAGTCAACAAACTCCAAATTGATAAGATTTTCCCAATGAATGGAATTGATGGAACCGTTAAACTTGCATTAATCCATAGAAGTTGGAGGGTGAAAGATGCATTGAGGACAGCATTTTGAGGTTGCCAATCGAGTCCGCAATAACCCTGAAAACTTTGTGTCACTCAGGTCCAGAATTCGAAGAGATCCGTGTTGGAAAATTCTGGTAAGGAACCTTGAAGCTTTGGATTGTCAGACAAGTCAATAGTCTGTAGTGTAGAAATCTGAAAGATCTCTTGGGGGGGAAATGTTCCATACAAACCACATGAAATGAAGCTCAAGGAAGTCAAGCTTGAAAAATTGACAAAGAATGCTGGAACTGGAAAGAAGATATGACTATAATCCAATTGAATCACGGATAGAGATGTAAGCTTAAAAAAGGGACTGATCAAAAGGGCCTGAAATAAAACTGCTGGACAAGCTCAATACCCTCAAGTTTGGAGGTGAAGATGAGATTACTTTGCAGCATTAGTCCCTTGTGGTACTGATATGTCTACATGATCAAGATATAACTCTTCAAGTTCTGTGAGGTTATGAACCAACATGCTTAAATTGGGGTTCTCAAGTTTTAACTGATCTCTAAAGTAATTCTCAGAAATGTCAAGAACAGTCAGCCTTGTCAAGTGTGAGACCTCTATTGGAATTTGTCCGAAAAAGGCATTATGGGATAGATTTAGATACTTCAAATTCGTAAGCTTTTCCTATTGCAGATGGAATTTGAGAGCGAAAAATTCCGTTAGCAGCATATTTGAGGCTTTCAAGGTGTTGAAGATCTGCTGGAGTTTCGAATTCCAAGCACGACAGATTCGCCACTGATGTCAAGACCAACTGCGTAGCCACTTTTGCTGCAAGTTTCTTCGACCCAAGAACAGCAGCGGTACTTGAATTCCAAGTTACAAGCTTGGAGGAAGCAGGAGAATCAAATGTAAGGCTTTGCTTCAAGCGGAGCAATGCTGCTTGGTCATCTTCATTGCACTTACTTTGGACTAAATTAACAGTCATCAAGAATAAAAAGAAATGCAGCAAAACTTTCATCATGGATTAAACTTTTAACAGAAGAGATGGATGAAACTGCAGGAGCTGTTTGTGGTGGTTTTAAATCTCATTGACACATAGGCCTTTTTTCTTCAATTTAAAACCTTTTCCCCATCTATCTGGGACCATACAAAAAAAACGTGACCATGCAAACAGAGCAAATAGATTAAGGTCAAAGCCAAAGCACAAGAGCAAACAGCTGAAAACCAAAGCCAACACAAGCGAGACCAGACAAAGGAGAGTAAGTTAAAGTAAATCCAGCAAACATCGTACACTGAATTGTTCAAAGTGACAACTTTCTTAACGCATAAATTTCCATGTACTTATGAATGGAGCGTGTTCTGTTAGAACCGTACAACAAAACAACTTTATAATAAGATCCAATACATCATCAAATTCCCTATAAGCTACTAAGCTGCAAAAAGTAAAGATAATGTTTTGTAGTAGTTAGATTTCTTGTAAGAGTTGACGTTTTTTCTTGTTAGGCTCGTTTTGACACTAATATCTTTTTTTTTGGCAAATGGGGACTTTCATGAACTTGGTCGACAAGTAGTTTCATATCTTTTTGGTTACTCATCTGTTCATAGGTTGTCTTTGTCGACTCTCGTAAGAACAACTCAACGCGCAGATATTCGAGTAACAAAAGAATTTACTTGGTTATTGAGAAGCTGATGAATATCCCCATTTGCTCAAAAAAGATAATGGCATCAAAAAGACCCGGCAAATAAACATCAACTCTTATAACAAATCTAATCAAAATAAAAGTTTACTTTCATTGAAGTTTTAGAGCGCAAGTCCAAATTTCGTCTTCTTTTTGGTACATTGGGGGACAAATCTCGAAAAATCTCTGCAGACTTCACTGGTGGCGTGAGGCTTGGACAGTATGGTGTTGGAGAAAGACAGGCAGTTGTGCTTTAATTTGGAACCCAACATTTTCATCATTTGGACCCAACCTAGAACAACTGTTTCAGTAAATTGCATAAACACCCAGATTTCAAAGTCAGTTTTTAAGGTAAACTTTCGTTTCTTGGAAACAAAACAGTGAAGATATGTAATAGAACTGTACCTCAATTGAAGAAGACAGACCAACGGTCAAAGCTCCAGTTGGCCATGCGAAACCACACACACCTTCATCGTAATTAACAGCAAAAGTTGTAGGGGGGATGAAGATAGAATGCATATGAGTTATATGAAAACGAGAACTAGGATATATTTATATAAATAATAAAAAACTAATTTTGTGTGTTCAAGCAGAAGAACAGAGCAGTGATATGAGTCATGAGAAAATTATTAAGCTAGTGTGTCGACATTATTTGACGAACAGAACTTAATTGAGGGAGGAGGCGGCTTCTGTTTTGGCCTTTTGCTTCAGAACGAAGGACACCGTGATGACACTTTTTTCCCATGGTGTGCTAATCGTGCACTGCATGGTACATGTGATGGATGAATCATTTTGGGTTTGGGCTCGACTTGGCCCGAAACGAGCCAATTTGTTTAACACTTGTATGTATGAAAAGACAAGTACGAAAAGAGTAAGAGTTGGTTGTCGCGGTGTAGTTTCATGGTTCGGCTAATAAGTTTAGTTAGACACATCGATCCATTAGCATGGGCACGTAGCCCATAAGCTCTTAGAGCCCTCCACGTATGGCAGAGATTCTGTATACATCTGGAACTTGCAGTGCTGCTAGTCCCACAGCTTGCAAGGCTTGCTTGTAGTTGTGTTGCCGACTGTTTGAGTAAACAAAGGTGGTACAGGTTTAATAATGGAGACGGAAGAGAAGGAGGAGGAGGAGGAGGCCCATGTTACCATGTTAGATTTCTGGGTTGACATTTTAATTTAATGGACAATGGCGGCCATGCCCGTTGCCCATGTTGCTCTACTTCAGGAAATATTTAAAGTATACTGGTCTTGCTATTGCCCAAAAAATCCCCTAATCACTAACCACAATTTTGAGTGACAATAAATTCATGTTGGTTGGTACTACCAAAAACTCAAATTATTGCACAATTTTAGAGACCTTAATTAAGTAAACACTTTATAAAAATGGTTTGATACCTATGCATAATATTTTCTTTTCAATACAAGCAATATTGAGAGAGGGAGAATTGAATTTGAAATCTCGAATGCTGAAGTAAATCCTCTTAACCACTTGAGCCATAATCCATTTGCTCGTGTGCACGATATTTTCGGCTGTGAGTTTGTGTTTAACCATGGTGCCAAAGAGAGGAAAACGGTTTGTAAAGAAATTAAATTTTTAAGAGCTTGTATCAATCAATTATAGGTGGAAATGAAAATGATTGTCAAACGTTCACTTCACTTGATCAACTAAAAGTCCAAGTCTATTGATCACTTATTTGTTAAGCATGAAAAATATCTATCACATGAAGAGAAATTTTGACAAGCATATTTTGAACAGTTATATTTGCATCATCGTAAATCAGTATCACCCAAATCAAAGGATTAGAGATCGGAGAGAACCCTAGATAAAGGGTTATACTAGTATCAAACGGTGCCGTTTCACAGAGGCAAGCAAATGCAATCTTGCTCCCCGTCGGTGCTGTCACCTTCAGTTACCCTGCCTTTATTTAATCCAACCACAACCTCACATTTTCTCACAACCACCTCTTCTTTTCTGTCTGTTTCTCACACAGGACCCATCACTCACCGCCACGTGCCCCTCGATATCATAAAAATAAAATAATATATGTCAAAAATTTCCACAGAAAATACCAAAAACCTACACAAGATGATGAAAATATCCACCCAAATAAAGGGAAACAGAAGCAGAGAGCTTTCTATATCTGCCCTTCTTCTTTTTCACCTCCATTTTCATTTTTCCCCATCCTTCTCTCTGTGTGTGTAAAACACTGTAACCACCAAAAGCCATGTTTGAGGAATCTGTGTCAATTTGGGCTTCCATGAACAGCTGGTTCACTCCAACTGTTTTCTTTGTGCTCCTCAATGTCATGATAGGCACCATTGCCATTGCTTCAAACTTAGGCACCAACCAGAAACACCAAGACCCACAAAACCAGCAGCAAGGCCTTGCTAGATCTCCATCTGTGCTGCAGAGGATCAAATCCATCAACCTCTACCACTATAGATCCCCAGAGCCACACACCACCACCTTTGAGAAAAACCCAGAAACTACTGAGAGCACCAATTATGCTTTTAGGCACACCCAGGAACCTGAGCAACCCCAATTCACCAGATCCCCTTCTTTTCTACAGAGGCTCAAGTCCATCAACTTCTACATTCCACAAGATTTCTCCACCAACCCATCACAGCCCTCCACCAACCCGTCACAACCCATCACCACCACAACCACTCTGCACAAAACTCAGGAGCCAGAATCCCATTCTGAACATGACCAGTTCCAAGATGAAGACCATTTTGAAGGCCATGAACACCCAGAAAGCCCAGAACCAGAATCAGAAGAAGAGCAGAGCCTGGATGAGATTTACAGTCAGCTGAAGCCTCTACAGGACCATCATGTGAGCAGGACGAAGTCAGACACCAAACCAGCATCCGGAGAAGTACCCACTAAGCTTCCAAAGAAGATGAAGAAGTCTGCGAGTTCCAAGTCTGTATTTGGTCATTTTAAAGAAGATGATATTGTGGAGATTCGCCGGCCAGCGACTGTGAGGGAGAGGAAAGCTAAAGTGACAGAGGATGAGGAGGTGGACGCCAAGGCGGATGATTTCATCAACAAGTTCAAGAACCAGCTGAAGCTGCAAAGGTTGGATTCCATCATAAGGTACAAGGACATGCTCAATAGAGGGACATAAGTGAAGGAAATTCAATTATTTTTCTATGGTGGGTTTTTAACTTGATGTTAGTTTGGGTTGGATTGATGAAGATTAGGGTTTACTGGATGGTAATGTGGATCTACTCACTACTGCTTTGTGTTTGTTGAACTATTTGTCCAAATATTGCCCTTTATTTATGTCTTCTAGTTCAATCATGTGTTTAGCAAAGCAATAGCTTATCAGAGCAGGGCAGCCTCTCATTTTCTGTGATTTGAGGGGTATATTGGTAAATGGGTCATGCCTGAGGAATTAAAACCCATTTGCAGCAGGCGTAGAGATTGTATTTACCATTTCCCACTGGTTATTGTTTGTTTATTTTTCAAGAGCAAAACAAGAAGAAGAAAAAAATCCTAAGCCCTAGTCATGATGGGACATTTTTGGCTTGTTTGGAAGAGTTATTTTATAAGGGTGAATTATTTTTCCGTATATGCCTGAGAAAGACTTGTATGTCACGGATAGCACTGTATTAAAAGAGTGAATCACACTCCGTGATGTTGAATCTTTAATATGCTTAGGCTAGCGGAACCCCATGGATTGGAGATATCTGAACAGTGTTATCCATGTACACGTTTTTCACATAAATTGGTAATGAGGAAGATAGCAAAGAGCCAAGCAGCGTCTTTGGTGTTGATACTGCCATGTTTGTTTTTGCTTCTACCCTTCCATGTGTTGTTTGGGGTCTAGTGGTGGAAGGAGTGGTAGCTGGAATTTGGTGGTTGCAGTTGCAGGCAGTCTTGTCTTAGCAGAGTGGGCTCATTTTTACTGATAAGAGTGGTGGTATATGGACTTATTTCTATGCTGCCCACAGGATGTATAGAAGGGTGGGGCAGTTTGGTCAAATCACATTGGCTCTCCTCCTTTGTGCTTAACCGTATGTTGAGGTGCTTGGTTGTGTTGTGCTGCACGTGGGGGGATTTTTTCGGTGTATCGTTTGGGTAGGGTTCTTCCAAAATTAACATAAAACGTGGATACATAATTACTGGGGTTTACCGAATTGAACCTTTTAATGTCTCTCTGTCTTGGTTGTGGTCCTCACATCACATTATCAACGTTTTTTTTTTTCTTCTTCTTTGATGTCTGAATCATGAAAGGGACCACATTATAGGGTAAATTTAAAACATTACCTTTCATTTCAATCACTTTTGTGCAACATGGGTCCAAATGTTTCTTTTTTCTTTACTGCTTAATCAATTAGGGTATTATAACATATCCTGATTAAGCAAACTGTTGTCGGTCTTCAAAATAGTTATCATGCACTCTTAACAACTTTTGTATTCATTGTTGTGTGCAAATAGTCGAGATGATTACGAAAACGAATATGAATTTTAGGATGAGATCTTGAAGTTCCATCCTTGAAAAACAAAAGGAGGATGCTCTAATTGTTGCGGAAGCAATGTCTTGTGTGTAGATCTGAGATGCCTTTGCTTCTAAACAAAACTTTTTCAAGTGGTACTCAACTTGATGATTATTAGAATAACAAAGTTGTTAAAATCAATCAAACCACAACCATAAAGGAAAAAGAGAAGTTGAAAGTATTTATTTACTTGGGGAGTATCACTTGTATGATTTTTGTTGGAACACAGAGGGATGATGGAAGATTAGAACATGTCACATCATATGGATAAAAATGTGGGATAAAAATGTTACAAGTGTAGCATTACTCTCTTTTTATAGCGTCTACGGTCTACTTTGTTTTCGGGCCATATATATATATATATATAATCGTTGTTTCATTAGAGACCACTTAAGTTTGAAGAATAATTGAAGGATATTTTATTTGAGATGCTTTTATATTTTGTCTTTCTTGTTGCGACTTTTAAGCCAACGGAGATAGTCTAGAGATTATGTTGTTTTGTTTGTGGAACATGCGATGCAAGAAAACAAAGTTTGTGGTTGATGCATCTCAACCACAGCTTATAGCAATTTAGTCCTATAGCAAACGCCTATTCAGTCGCAAATGTGGACTCTTCACTTTATATTACAATGTTGATATATTTTTAATGCAATGAGAAAAGAAATTACTATTACTTAAATTCTCTCATGATCATCATAACAAATTTTCACAACCATAAAGATAAGAGCACGAAAATTAAAGATTTCCAACACGAGATCGAGAATAATGGTGGCCTAAAATTGCTACTATATTTACTTTGAGAAAAATGTGATGAATCTTAAAACCTCACAACTAGTTCAAAAGCATCATAACAACAAGTGAAGCAATTCGTCAAAGAATGTTAGTAGTTTTTTGTGCGATAAGAGCTGATTTTCCCACTTACACTTATTTATTGGAAATTATATGTTATAGTAAAAAAATATTCTAAAAAAAGTTCTCCATTTTTTATTTTCAGCTGTCTTGTTTTGTTTTTACATTTATTGTTATTTTATACATGAATCTATGTTTACTCTAAAAAGTTCTCCATCATATTTCTGCCTCGTAAATATGAAGAGACCCAAAATTTCCCATCAAAATCCAGTTAGAACCTGGATCTGAGATTGAGAGGGTTTAAAAAGGAGTGCACCTTTGTTTTTTTTTTTTTTTTTTTTTTTTTTGGTGTGTGTCAATAAAAGGAGTGCACCTGGGACCTGCGCTAAACAAGCGGGAGATGGTGAGTGAGTGGCGCCACTGATTAGTTGATTTGTAAAATATGAGCTGTTACTTTCATATATCACAGGCCATTTTCCACCGTCGATTATCACCACGAGTCCACGTGGTAATGTATAATCCTGACACTCCTTATCTTTGCCACCATCAGTAAATGTCACAAATTACAGTTCACAAACCACGCATGTAAGTGCTTCAACTTTTCAGTCCCATTTTGAACTGATCATCAAAAGTTAAACCAAATCCAAAATCAAAATCAAAACGCAAAAGAAGGTTGGCACTACAACAAAAACATTCGAATATTTAGAAGAAGAGGAAAGGCAGTGACACACACAGGCAGAATTTTCTTTACAGGGAGGGAGAGAGAGAGAGAGAGAGAGAGATGGTGTGGATAGCAACTCAAAAGCTTGCAATTAAAGGGGTGAGAAGGCGTATATGGGGAGGAGCGTTTCTGTGTTGGGTTTTCTTAATGTTGGTCACTCCCAAGATTTCTCACTCCCCCAAACACCATCTCTACGCTGACATGCGCAATTTCCTTGGTACCCAAATTTGAAAGTTCATCTCTCTCCTTTTCTCACTGTTTATGTATGTTTTGTTTGATTCTGTTATCTGGGTTTTTCGTAGGAGTGCCTAATACATTGAATGTGATCACCAATTTCCCCTTTTTGGCTGTTGGTGTTCTGGGTTTTGTTCTTTGTTGCCAAGGGGGCCTTTTCAACATCAGGTTCTGTACTTCTGCATTGTAATTACTTACTTTGTATAATGATATCTTTCTTCTAGTGATTTCAGAGGAGTTGATTTTGATTGGTTTTGTTTGGCAACGGGTTGGTGTCAGTTTGCCTGGTGAAGTTTGGGGTTGGGCACTATTCTATGCTGGAATAGCAGGGCTGGCTTTTGGGTCTGCTTATTATCATTTGAAGCCCGATGATAGTAGAGTAACGTGGGACACCTTGCCGGTTAGCATTTCAATCTCATTCAAGAGCTTTCGTTTCTAGATAACTACCTGTGCAATGTGCACTGTTTGTTTTTTGGTTTTTGGAGATAGTTTAAAAAAAGAAGAGAGTTTACTATCGATTCTATAAAATTCAAGACCAACAAAAACTTAAGTGTTATCTTAACTGTTCAATCAAACTCTCGCTCAAAAGGGAATGTGAATGTGATGCAAATTTTTACTTGAAAGCGGATTTTTAAAGCAAAAAGAGCGTGAGTGAAAAAATATTAATAAAAATATTACGGTACATGGTTTTGTTGGCAATCAAGTATCTCGATCCTAATCATGTACTGCCTTTTGTTTATTTCAATTGTTGAAGTAGATTCTGAATTGCAGATGATGATTAGTAGATTCTGAATTGCAGATGATGATTGCATACTCCTCTCTTTTCTCTAGTTTTATAATAGAGAGAATGGGAGAGAGGATCGGTTTAAGTTGTCTGTTTGCACTCCTTTTCATTGCTTGTCTTAGTACTGCATATGACAGGTTAGTTTTGTATTTTCTCCTCTCTTCCTGTGTTAAACTCTTAATTTTGGAGGTACGCATGTGCTTTTTACTGAATATGGTTCACTAGTTGGTTGCAGAACATATAATGATATCAGATTGTACATGATGTTCCAGTTGATTCCATGTATAGCAATTCCAGGAATGTGCTTTGTGTTTCCACCCAAATATACGCACTCAAGATATTGGCTTTGGGCCGGAGGTACGTCATATTCATTAATAATCTTTGTTTTTTTTTAAGAACATGCTGTTCCCTGCACAATTGAAGTATAATAGAAATGGTCAATTGATTCCTCTGTAGCTGTAGCTTATTAGAATATCTTAACAAGTACACACTGGGTGAATTCCTTCAAAGTCATTTCCCTCTCTTTTTGGAAAAAGCAAAAGGAGAGAGAAAAATTTTAAAAGAAGCAAAAATGGACAAAAATGCCCTTATTTATTTTTAGATTTCCTAAGGAATCCAATACATTTGCATGTCTTTGATTTGAAAGTTGAGTGGTTTTTTTGTCTTTTTTGAAAAAGCTTTGGCTTTTTCCAAAAGTGAAATTTTTTTTATGTCTAAAACCTAAAAAACCTTATTTGGTTGTTGTGTAAAAGTAACTTTCACAATGGATGGTCCAGACTACGGCTTCAGAATGTTTGATGTTTATTGTTTTGCTAAGGAATTCCACCAATGACCATTCCTATCCCATGAGAATTTTGGACTCTGCAAATTATAAGAGCAATTGTTTACAGGGGTTTACCTTCTCTCCAAATTTGAAGCTGTTGCTGACATGAAAATATACCATGCAAATCATTACATTATCAGTGGGCACTCTTTGGAGCATTTGTGTTTAGTGATGGTCCCTGTTCTGCTCAGTATTATGCTCATGCATAGAAACATTAAGTGTCAAAGGTACTTTAGTTTTGCATTTTATTGAAACTTCTCATTATAGTATCTTCTGTTTGAAATAGAAGGTCAACTTGTTTGCCCACAGTTTTGGTCTTAAATTGATTATCCAATGTTTCTCTCTTACATATTTGTGGGCTTGGGCTTGAGAACAGAATAGGTGCCATCAAAGAATGCTCATGAAGTAGGCAAGGCAGAGATGATGATGACGTGTTCTGTGCAGCAGCTACTGGATGCTCGAAAGATTTCTGTAAATGAGGAGTCATTGGAGGTAAAGAGTGATCTGTAGTACTCTCCAATGTTTAGTAAAACATGTCTCTGCCATTGAGCAAATTAGATTAATCAATTTTGACTTGGATAAACATGTCTCCCCCTTGTCATGAACTGCTTTCTTCTGCTGGCTGGCCTGTCCATTACAGATTGTAAGAAAAAGTGATTAGCTTAACTGGAGTTGAATCACTTGATTATAAACAGCCAAAGAAGATTAGAACATTATTTTTGTTGGATATTGAGAGTGCAATGATTAGATTCCACAAATTCCTCCTCTATTATGCTGATAATGTGGATTTATTTCAGTGAGAATCAGAGGGAAAAATTTAAATTACATATATTAGCTTTATGGCACATGTATGGCACAAATTTTCACACATGTATATTATGGTTCTTTTGGACAATTGTGGTCATGGTCATGTATCTAACTAAATATACTCACATGTATGCATGTGCATGAGGAACAAATGCATGTCTGCTATCATGTGATCATATGTTCTAGTATTCAAATGAACATTTTATTTCTAGAAAGCTATTGGCTGGCGGAAAAAGGCATTTCCAATTAGTTTTACAGAGTCACCGTATACCTTAATTATTATTCTTATTTATACTAAACTGGCGTCAAGCAGCCCAAGCCAGCACATTTCTATTTGAACCCAAATTCAAAGTTGGTAGCCCTTCAGTATCAAACCTATCTTGGCAAAGCCCAAACTAGAAAAGAATGAATGAATGTGACATTGACAACTTTTCACTTCAACCATTCTGTTGCTTAATCAGATTGTAAACTATGGTTGAGTCAACATCAACTTCAACTGTTCTTCGCAAGTCCTCCCCGCAAGCAAGCGCAGACCTGAATGGAAAGATTAAAAAAATAAGCATTATGACACTGCTACATGCCTCTAAGACCACTTTTGGATCACGATCTTGTTTTGCAGCATGTTAGACAACCGGTCAATCGGTATACACTGCTGATCAACCGGCTTGAAGTTTTTGCTCTTAGAATTCCAAGTAACCAGTCTAGATTGCCAAACCCCCTTTCAGCTTGGGCGTGGGTGACTTGTGAATTTTTCACATTCTGGCAAGAATCCCATGAAAGGCTAGTACTAGTTATAAGACCTATCAGATGTGAAAGACTCCCAAGTCCCAAAAGCTGGTCTCTTTCTGCTTCTGATTAATGCACCCCGCCTATCTGATGGAAATTTCTGGGCAGTGTGTACATTACCAAAGTGGGTGTTGAAATTAATACAGCAACTCAAGTACAAAATCCTTCATTGCCATCCAAATTGGGTGGGATTATTATCCCATTATTGTCACTCATTTAGATGCTAATAATTTTTTAAAAAGAAAAGGCCTCCAACCTCGAAAGCAACATTGTTAATTGGGTTCATAATTGACTTAGGAGTCAAGTTAATGCAACCACTAAGCCACTGACCACCAAAGATTAGTTAACTGATTACTGTGACACCTGCATCAAAGTCATAATTTAAATGAATGAATACTGTTTGTTTACCTAGAGTCGTCGGTGGGGTTCTATTTGCTTTAATTGGCCTTGCTTCCGTGTCCCTCTTGGCACCCATACTGCTATGAACATTCAACCCTATATAAAAAAATACAGGAAATAAAATGATCTTACCAACCAAATTGGTAAAAGGAAAAGGGTCCCATAATCCCATTTTAATATTTTCTTTTTAATTCCAGATTATAAATCGAAACTTCGCGTAAAATTATTCGGTGGTCATTAAAGTGTGATTTTCTGGTTCCTTATCACCCACCCTACCCTAACTACGCGTTCATGACATACTTAGAAATAGCAATTATGTCTTTTAATAAGGAAATCATGAAAATGGAGGGAAATAAAAGAAGAATCTAGCAACAACATGGAATTTTTTTTTTTTAAAGGACTGGAGCCCACGTTTCTGACAATTCACTCCATCACATGTGGACCATGCAAACGAGATCACATATTCTCAGACATCACAAAGAAGACTCAACTATGAGGGGGAAAACACTTATATGAGACGGGCATAATACCATTTTGTTATTTTTGACTAATAACGTTATGCGATGCATAATAATCTTTTCATATGATAATTTGTAATTAATTAGAAATAAGTTTTTCTTGAAGAGGTGACTCAATTTTTCGTATCTTTTTTTATTCATTATTTTAATTATTTTTCATTTATTGATAAGGTAGGCTTAAGTCGGTATGCTTTTTAGAGCTAGTGCTTACTAATTTACCGGTGTAGAAATTCACAGGAAAGAGCCTTCACACACAGAGAAACATTGGGTGAGTTGGAAGCATCCCTTTTCTGGTTCCTCCGTCTCTTTCCTTTTTTCTCATCCCTCTCCTTCTTCTCTCTCAAAAACCTCACAAGTTCACACCAATTCACACCAATTCACAACCTCTCTCTCAAATCCAAACCCAACCCATTTCTCAAAATGACAGACAGAGTCTACCCATCTTCCAAACCCACCACCAATGGCGGCGCCGCCGTGCCCGCCGCTGCTACTACCGCCGCCGCCACAGCCAACCCATCAAACACCAAGCCCCAACTCCGGCAACCATACCGCCCACAACCCCAGTACCACCACCGCCGGCACCGCAGGAGCAACTGCCACTGCAACTTCTGCTGCTGCTGCTTCTGGTCCATCCTCATCATCTTAGCCCTCGCCCTCCCCGCCGCCATAGC